GAATCTACGAAACCAAAATTGCAAATAACACCATTCATTCGCCTTTGTCAAAGAAAAACTGTAAAATGTACCGAATTTTCTCTTTGTTCACTTGCACTTTTAACACGCTGTAACTCACAACTGAATGCACCAAAAAAGTAAATTGTAAACTATGTAATAAAAGAAGAACTTTTGACAGTAAGCTGTTTTTTGAATAAACTAAAAGATGAAAAATAAATATTCTCTCATAGTTACTTTCATAGAGACTATGTGCGTTTAGAACAATCGAATTTCTTATACGTTAAAAATATAAACGCCCCAAGCGCAGCCGCATGCAAGACCCACAACGATATGAAGCAGATCATTTAGTATCATATTAGAAATCGATTTCAATATACCTGTCCGTCTGAATTATATTTTTGTGCTCATCGGTCAGATTGGCATTTTCCAGGTATTTTGAAGCAATTCGATGCAGCGATGTGTGTAGATCGGAACCTTTAAACGTCCATTTTAATCAAAAATGTACCAAAAAATTTCAATTTTTAGTATTTACCGACAAAAATTAATTAAAAACAGTACATTTTCCACTGTAAATGAATATGAAATTACAACCTGAAATGTGAGTGTGAAAAATTGGCTGAGATGACAACTTTTTTTGAATCATCTAAACGTTCTTAAAAAATATAAATCTTTGCATAGTGACAAGATGTCATTTTTAGCATTTTATGATGAAAATTGATACGGAATGAGCAATTTTGCGAACAAAATTTGTCAACCTAAAACGTTTGTATTCCATGCGGTGTAAGGGTCACATGAAAACTAAACATTTATATGGCACAAAGATTTAATCTTTTGCACATTATAATGTAGAGCCAAGTAGCATAGAGTACTTAGTAGATGATCTTGCTCGCCTGCAACATGCTTCAATTTACCTGGTTAAAAGACTCGTCGAAATCCGAAAAGGCGGAGACAACAGCTATAAGTTTCGAAAATATAATATGCCAAACTAATAATTAAAGAAAATCAACTGTATGTACGCACAGTAAGCTTTTGATATAAAAATCCCAAAATTATTATTAAAGAAAAGCCTTTTAAACAATTCGATGGCAAATGCTCAACCAAGAGTAAAGTGCAACGACACTGTAAAAAATGCACCGAAACAAAGAAGCATAAACTACCACAATCACGTAATGGTCTTAGATTAGATAATTGATGTATACCAACAAATGCGACAGGCATGAACACATCCACATGAGCACACACAGATATGTGCATGCGGTACAGCGTACCTATATTTAGATAAGCAATTCATTATTGAACCAAGTTTTCATCTGTTGGGTCACAACATTACGTTATAAAATTTAAGCTAATAACAGTAACAAATTTAGTTAACTGCTTAATTATGAATTTTTCTTGTAACCACATTTTATTTTATCCCTGTTTATTTTTGTTGGCATTTATAATAAACATTTGGGTTCACATATTCAAACTGTTAATTCAATCGAATACTTCATAGAGTCCGGCGTATAATTGGTGTTACAAATTTTCTGCTAAAGTTAAAAAATATCTAAATTAGAAAACGGGCAAAATAAAAAACTAAAGGAACTAACAACAAAGATTCTAAAAAAACCAAAAAATTAAAATTGAAGTCTACGGAAACCAGATCAACAACTTCAAAAAATGGATTATCAGAAAACGTTAAATGGTTAGTACACAAGGGAAGATATGTACGAAGGAACGGTCGCCAAAGAGGGCAAGTACACGTGGTTACGTATATGTTACGTCAACTTATATTGCTTGACTCACTCATTCACTTAACTTATTCATTTTGGGCAAGAGCTGACTAACATATATGAAGAATTTATACCACTATTCGTACACACTACAAGCGAAATATCTGAAAAACATTGAAGTATGCAGGAGATTCATGTGCATGGAAAAAGTAGCAAAATCAATTATGCAAATAATTAAGTTTTATTTAAGAATTTTCTTGTTTAAATATGCACGTATTAGAGATTGGTCTTAAAAAGCACGTCCAAACCAAGTATAACTTAATTCTTATTATTTATAAAGCAGCCCTGGAAAATTTCCTTAGATTAGTATTACAGACAAAACTATACGGGTTCGAGCAAAACCAAGGCGAATTTTATGGTCTTTTAATTTAATACAAAGAATGTAAGCCGTATCCAAGATTCCAAGGAATGTTCCATTTCTGCAGCTTTACGAGCAGACAAATTCAAATAACTTAAACAAACGAAAAACACCTAATCTTAATTTTCAGAATATTCTTCTTTTTTTTGTTGTTAAGATTGATCACAAAAATGTTGCGCATATCTCTCAAATCTAAACTCGTTTAGAGGAGCCTGTTAAAAACATACCCCATTCAAAGTTTTAGGAAAGTGGAAAGAAATTCATCATAGCTCCATTATACTCAACAATTTTAGACTGTGTTCTTAAGATGCTCCTGCTGAGATCGTACGGACAATTTCGGGAATTTAGAAGGAACTCGCTGCGGAGGCGCCTACTTTGTCAAATCTAGTTGCTGAGCTATTATTTCCTTAGTAGATTCATATAAAGATATTGCCAGCGATTTCATAAGCTGAGAGGAGACAGCTTGTGGAGGATTTGTTCTACAACTAGATACTGGATCGAATTTTGTTTTACTAAAAACCATGTTTGCTTAATATCAATATTAGTTGTTTAAAATATTCAATGTAAAAGTCTTAGTAGTGGATTAAATTCTGTGTAAGTACGCTGCTCCTATTAGAACAACAGACGATAATTTCTCCGGCGTTGTATACTAACGAGCATTACACCTCTCGAAAGAAATTTTGGCCAGAATTTTTTCATTTTGAGCGAATGGGCGAGAACACATTAATGCATGGTGTATCGAAGTTAACCCCATCACGGTTGAGTAGGAATTGAATTAAAAATAAAGAACATTACTTTTTCTGCTACATATAAGGCGTATTACGGTTCCACTTTTCGCAACGTTTTTTGCGTAAAAGGTAACTTTGAGTACAGAGCAACAACTAATTTTGTTAAATTGTGGACACCTTCGTTGATTTGTATGCTGCGATGTCCATTGACTCAGAGAAGGTCAAGATCGTTTATTGAAGTTATCAGTGTATCGATGATTTTCTAACAATAGAAAGTCACAAAATATGTTTTTAGCAAGCATTATAAGAAGCATTTTTGCTGTCTGTGAATATGACTATTTTTTTAAATCCAACTTAGCTGCGAGCCAGGATAATGCTTTGTGCATACCGAAAAAAAAAATGATCAGCTTGTATTTACACCCAGTTCGTGAAATGCTGATTGAGGCATCGATTGCAATAATGAATTTCTCATTTTTATGTTGGTTGGTTACTCATGTGTACGTAATAAATTTTGGGTTGGTTTTCCTGCAGTTTTCTAAGAAAAGAAGAAAGCAGTGTTATTTCCTATTGGGCAAGACTGAAAATGCTATTTACTTTCACGTTTAACGTAGGTAACGTAGCTTTTTTACCCTTGGAAAAGGTTAAACATGAAAGCTTTAGCATTGTCAATGATTCAGAAGAAAGCGTTGGTGAACTGTTATGAGCGGTGTAACCGTTACAATATCTGAATTGCCTGTTGTAGTGTATTGGTTTGATCTTGCACCAAGTTTTATTTTAGTTAAATATCTTTTATAACTGATAAGTTAATTTGCTTTTGATTACTGTTGATGTATTTATGATCGGGTTACATACAATCTCGTACTGAACATTTCTATGGTTTCGCAACCGCCGACGTTTCAGCCAGCAACAGGTTACAAACAGAGAGGTCATTCGACTAAAAATAAATCTCTTTCATGCAGTCTTTTGTGAGGCTTACATCACAAAAAGATTGAAATAGTAAATGCTATGCTATGTTGGCATTGTAGAGACAGGCTATTATTAAAAGCTACAAAATTACTTGGCAAACTTTCAACCGTTAGATGAGCTTAAACGATGGAATTTAGATCGAAACTAAAAACTAACTTATGCGTTTTGTATGTACTCCAGATATATTAAATGTTGTAATTATGTTAAACATTCGAACAATCGAACGCAATAGATCTTGCTACTGAGTTTTGGTATTAAAGGCGTTGGAAAAGTGCAACTACTTTCGAACGTGGAATAAAACATTAAGTTGTTGCACATACTTTAATCAGCGACATGTATTGGTGAAAATGATAAAGTAATGCGACGTATCAATGTATACAACGATTAAATTCGGTTATTTTGAGCTTTCTCTATTCTACTACGACATTCTCAAATGCAAAAAGTCATAGGTTAGCCCAGCAGAGCCGTCCAGGTCTACACCGAACCGGAATGTTCATGGCCATATGGTGGGACCAAGGTGTGCTGCATTACGAGTTGCTAAAACCGAACGAAATTGTCAATGCAGATGTCTACCGACGTCACTTAAACAAATTTAAGGATGTTCTGCTGCAAAAAAGACCAGTAATAGCGGTTAACAGACGCAAAGTCATCCTCTTGCATGAGAACGCTCGACCACAGTTGTAAGAGTTGTCAAGTCTACCCCGTTATAGCTTGAATTAGAAATTAGCGCCTTCTGATCACCACTTTTTCGGATAGATGCAGCATGGCTTGGCTGACACGCGGTTTCGAAATTGTGCAGAGATTCGAAAATGAGTCGACGATGGAATCGCTGCCAAACTAATGCTAAGGAGAATTTTAAGTAAAATTTATACTACCCTAAAAGTCACAATTCAGCGAACTTAACACCGAACAGCGAACACATTAACAGCATTAATTTCAAAAAGAGTCGAATAAGTAACCTAAAATTATGAAAGGCAGTTTTCATTTGTTTAAATGTTTAAATAAAATCACATTCCTTGCGGAAACTTGCTCTTTTGCGTTTGAGTTCTTTTTTCGATTCCCGACATTGACATAGTATTGGACTACTTTTGCACCTCTGCTGATTAATATTACTATTTTGTAATATTATTAAATTCGTTTTATTTATTCACTTATTTCTTCTTTTTCAATCTTTAGATCGTTCAGATTATGTTGGCGGTATCGATAACGAAGCCATATTCTTTGAGGATTTACATGTAACAACAAGTGTCGATAGTCTTCACGCAAATGGTGGTCACTCAAGTAGTTTAAACGCTGTTGAGTCCGCATTGTTCGCATGTAATTCAAAAGCTGAAACGCCGGTCACATCCCCCACATCGACTCCGTTGCAGGACACTACTTTACCACCAATTCCAACTATCTCAGCAAGAGTTAGTCTGACTAATGTAGCACAGATCGGCATACATGCTACAAGTTCCAATAATCATACACACTCACATCTACCGGAAAGCCCGCCCGATTCAAGCTCTGAGCCACCTTATAGCCCGTCACAGGATGTGCACGGCCTGACTTTGACGTCACGTGATCTTTACAATGGACCAGGCTTAACAAGCAATGTAGCACCTGCCATACATGAACTGCATATATTGCCAACACAGCAGCAACACCGCTCACAGCACCTATCACAACAATATGCTACGTCACCAACTCAGCACCAACAATCGCACACAAACAATTATTCACATGTACTGCGAAATTCGCATGGAAACGTGAATGGCCTTGTGCGAGTCAAACAGGAATCAGGTTTACTTGTCAACACGGGTGCCTTGCAATGTACTTTTAACAGCCGTTCAACAGACGCGCACATCGAAATGCCAGCCTCTCACTCCTTTTATTCAACCAACACCCAATTAAATAGCTTAGCGAATAAAATGTATGCGCCCACCATTACATCCTCTTCATCTTCATATCAATTGGATTTGGGAAATATTGACCACAATAACTCCCCATCAGCATCTTCCGCGTGCATGCTAAACACCGTGACCGATTTACCTCATGTGCAGGCCATAGGAACAAGTCATGCTAGCATACCATCCACACCGCAATTAAGCCGCACATCAACACCTTCTACTCCAAATCACCAAAGCTTGTCTCGAAAGCGAAAAATGACCATAGACGTTGAGTGCTCAGAATACACAAGCATTAAGCCAGATCCCGGATTTAAAATGAGTCCCACTCGAAGCGCATCATGTGCCACTCCCCTGCAACTAGCAAATGAATCAAAAGTTTCGCCCACATCTCCGCTAAATATACAATTAAGCTCACAAAACTCAACAAGCGCTAGTGATTTATGCAGTACAGCTCCTCACTCGACAGCCTCCCTATCACCAGCTTTATCGATCGTCAATACTAATGTGGAGATTGCTTGTGTGGACACGTCTAAAAGTTCAGAAAGTGGTATAGACGCCCTTAGTCCTTGCATAAAGTTTACCCCTTTCCAACACCAAAATTGGCATAGGCTGTGTGACCAAAATTTGCAAGAATTATCAATAGTATATTATCGCGTGGATGCTGATAAAGGTTTCAATTTCTCAGCATCTGACGATGCCTTTGTTTGCCAAAAAAAAAATCATTTCCAAATCACTTGCCATGCCAGATTACAAGGAGACGCTAAATTTGTCAAAACGCCGTCCGGTCTCGAAAAAATTAAATCCTTCCATTTACATTTTTATGGAGTAAAGCTGGAATCTCCAAACCAAACGATACGCGTTGAGCAAAGCCAGTCAGACCGTTCAAAAAAGCCCTTCTATCCCGTACCGTAAGTACATAAAATAAAAACACTATAAATCCTGATTGAATTATTTCTTTGATTTTAGGATTGATCTCCAGAGCCATATCGTTAGTAAAGTAACTGTGGGCCGCTTGCACTTTTCCGAAACCACCAATAATAACATGCGTAAGAAAGGACGTCCCAATCCCGAACAACGTTATTTTCAGTTGGTAGTGGCTTTACATGTGCACACAGCTTCCGGCGATTTTCCTATTATTAGTCAGGGAAGTGATAAAATAATCGTACGAGCGTCTAATCCAGGACAGTTTGAATCTGATGTAGATTTATGTTGGCAACGAGGTCTTACACAAGACTCTATTTACCATGCGGGCCGAGTCGGCATAAACACCGACCGGCCTGACGAAAGCTTAGTAGTGCATGGTAATCTCAAAATATCCGGCCACATTGTGCAACCGAGCGACAGTCGAGCTAAGCAAGAGATAGGTGAATTGGATACCTCCGTGCAGTTAAGGAATTTGCAGAAGATACGAATTGTTCGTTACCGTTTAGAACCAGAATTTGCTTTGCACTCCGGTCTGAAATGTAAAAACGGATCTGGGGATATTGTGGATACAGGAGTTATCGCCCAAGAGGTGCGCGAAGTAATCCCGGATGCAGTACAAGAAGCTGGCAGTATAGTGCTGCCTAACGGTAACGTTATTGAGAATTTCTTGTTGGTTAATAAGGATCGAATACTCATGGAAAATATTGGCGCGGTAAAAGAATTGTGTAAAGTGACTGGAACTTTGGAGTCACGTATTGAAAACTTGGAACGCGTAAACCATCGTTTACAACATATTAAAGACACTGAAATGCAACTCATGCGGAACGAAATTATGGCCAATAAAGAAAGTCAAGAAATTTGCTCGAATAGAACCCTGCAAATAACCATATTCCTACTTGTTATCATTATGGCGGCCTGGTAAGTGGACACATATAAATCTACTCAAAATATAATAATAATAATATATATTAAAAATTTTCTTTCTTCCAGCTTGGCTGCCGTTTCCACTTTGTACTTTGTTGAACATAGCCGAAAACAACATATCTTTAAACACTTGGAGAGTATACACGTTCTGAGTAATGGGCACGTTTACAGACCTGATATCTTGTCACTTGCAGAACAAGAACGTATTTACTTGAATAACAGAGTTAATAAAACTCGTAATTTTCTTTATCAATCATCCTCTTCTGCTATGACTATGGACAGTAACTACACAAAATATCGTGATGAAATCATGGGTGGTATAGATGCAATTGAAGAGATTGTACCAACACGCAATGATGAGCTAACGGCTATCATGGAAAAACCCTCCGTAGAAAATGAGCTAAAACAGTTTAATAGAGAACATTTAAGATCGACTACATCCCCCATGGTTCGCACAAATAAGACCATAAATAGTAAAGCGAAAATAAAACCCCAGGCAGGACGTAATACCGTTTTCAGGGTCATTTACAATCATCCAAATAATGGAATATCCGTGCAAGCCACTGATGCTTCGGACACATCCTCGGAACGTATAGCAGGCGCCAATGAACTATTACAGCCAGATCTTGATAATAATTCTATTGATACAGACCACAAGCCAGTAACTTCTAAGACCCGCTTACCACAAATCAAAGATAATTCGCGGCATGGCGACATACAGAAACTAAACACGGAACCTGTCGTAGGTAGCTTGCGCAGAAGTCAAGCAGACAACACCCCCTTACAGATCCATCATATGCATCTTAGTAATGCAGTTGTTGATGAGACGAGCATTTATAAAACGTCTTCCCCGCTGAATCCACTTGTCACTACAACTATGAGTACTACGACCGTTTCCATTAGTGCTACTAGCAAGAAAATAGGCCAAAAATTAAACACCGAAGCGCCACAGACCAATTATTCTCTGGACATACAACCCATAAGTAATAAAACATTACGCAACATTATTGATCGAGCAACCGATAATGCTGAAGATTTGCAAAGTCTTACTAATAACAATGAATCGGCCTACAATACTATAAGTGATCCTCTTGATTTGATATTTTACAACAATATACGAGCACCATCTATAAGCAGTACCACTCAAGAAAGACATCACCAAGAGCAAAACACAGACGCCGATTGGCTAATAAGTAGACATTTCTACATAGATTCATTTGGCGAACCTGAGCAGTGCAACAAAAAAATTAAACATGCTGATATATCCAGTTGTCAGGTAACCAATGTGAGGACAGAAATTACCTGTTTCCTCATCTCGTTTCCTATTATTCTTTGTCTTTCAATTTCAAATTTAGAATTTTTACAAGTTTTTGTTCTCCTTAATGAGAAACATTGTTTTATTTTCCTAATAGAGACAAAGATATTGCATTCCAAAACATTAGGTAAAACCCTAGAAAATCGTGACGACTTATGATTACTTATCCTTTACAAACAAGGGAGCTCCTGTTTATGTTAACAATACAAGTTTCTTTTTCTTACTTCAAGTCGGTGTGCTTCGAGGAAAACAATCAACTCTTAGTCCCAAATCATCTATCGTTGGGTCTGAAACCTAGTGAAGCAAAAATAACTAAAACCTTGATTACGCAAGAAGCAGGAGACAATGCCAAGAGTAGTGAGCGCGCTGATAATGACGATGATGACAAAGAAACCGTTTTACATGAAAATGAGGATGAGTTACAAGTTGCTTATGGAGGGTCTTTACACCTTAACTCGAACTCGTCCCGCTTATTAGTCGCAGGTAAATCTTCGCATTCTACTCAAGCTCTAACAAAACAATTGAGTACAGAACAACCTTCAGGGGAAATCGTAGATAATTTAGGAGCTATATTGGACCATAGTTTCAGCAATGACAATGGTAATCAACACCCAAAAGCCGCAAAACAAGAAAGACATGATTTACCAAATCAAACACAGACGCAACAAACCAAATTATTAACGGAACCGAATCAGCCTCCATTAAATGCGGACTGTTGGAAAGTGCATAGCTGTATATTGGCAGAAAGAGTGAATAAAACTTTCTCTGTTGATGAATATTGTCCGAAATCGAGAAAATCAATGAACCTAACATTTATCGTACCGTTGTCACGCTATTTTAAGGAAAAAAGTATTCAACTGCATTTAACGTAACGTCCGCGCCAAGCAACGATATCGTCATATTAATAGTCATTTTACTTGCAGATCAACTTTACCATTACATTGGGTGCTTTGCAATAATCATGAATTATCAAAAACCAATGGTAAGCATTTGCCTAGTACTCATCAAACGCTTCAGCGCCTTCGTAATACTTCGCTGCTATTACTGAACATACCAAGCCGTGGTTATTTTGTTAAAGACTTGAATTTACGTGCCACCAGTGATACAGAAAAGGTAAGACGTTTTCTTGCGTTTTCGTTTCTTTTGTTATAAACATTCTTTTTTTTAATTGATAGGAAACCATATGCCAGGAGAAAGCATATGAAACAAATCCTATACTTGAGTACAATTTTAGAATTTTAAGAAATTGTGATTAATTGAGAAAACAAAATGACACAGAGTCAGCAATTACGTTTGATCTAAGTCCTTACCATTAAAGCCTCGCGCTCATTACAACAAGCTTTAAATCGACGCAACTTTATTTATTCGATAGCTGAAATGAAAACATCATCAAGTGAACAAAGCTCCAACCGTTAGCTATTAAGCCTTTGTATGCCTTTTATTTTAGTTTAGTCTGGAAAGAAGAAAAAAATACGCTGAAACTGAGAAAACTAGGTTTTAATGAAATATGAAAATTGTTTAGTCAAATTACATAAAAATAAATATAAACATAAAACAAAATATACCTTAAAGGATTTTCCAAAAAATCTTATGTAAACGTTTAAATAAACATTTTAACAATTTTCTTTAGATCTGCGAATAGTTGTAAATCCTTTAAAGTTTGTAGAAAGCTTAATGTTAGGATTGTTCTTTGTACAAAGCTCGCTACCCAGTCTACAGTAACGGATTATTTCCAAGCAGCGTAAATTATCGACCGCGATTGAGGAAGACAATCAAATATCATTTGGTTACAATTTACTCAATGCACTTAATAATTTTTTCACAGGTCGATTTTGCTTACCGTAGTCCGTGCATAGTAAATCTAAACTTTAATTATCTCACAACTTATATGTTTCTTTAATTCTATTTTCCAATTTGCAAGTATAAATAAAGTTTTCATTAATAAGTGAATAAAAATGCTATTGCCATCTTCGGTATTTACCACTTAATTGTAAAAGCCCTAATGAATATCAAAGACATAAGTTTTTTCCCTATTTAGTTTAAAGGGAAATAATGCGCATTTTTTGCTTTGAACTTATAGGTGTTTCTTACAACTGTTTTCCACAGCTTTCAGACTATTATATGATGTAAATTTTGGGTTATAAATGTTTGCTTATTAGAGGGGGTCGCGCCTTGTATCAAGCCTTGTCTACGGCCATTCACTAAAAGCAAATACGCGAACCTTTCTCTGCACATCTTAATGATTGCATATAATCTTAATTTGATCCTTAATTTTTGCAGTTATATTAGGGTCTGTATTGATTGCCTCATATGATCCTCCATATCGTTTTTTTTTTGGCGTACCTTTCTCTTATTTACTGATTTCACTAGAAATATTCGCTTATACGCGTTCGTTCTTTGTGCTGTGCTTGTTACAAATCCACGTTCAAGATATAAAAAGACGAATGTTATTTGTTGAATGATTTTTTGTTTTCTTTCGCATATATAATATTTTTTTATTCGAATATTTGACTCGACACTGATTTTTTCGGACGGTTGTAATTTTTTTACTTTTATTTTTTTCGACCATTTTTTCTTTCCTTTCTTTCCTTTTCCTTCCAATACGCCGGAAACGCAATTCCGCCAAATAAAAACTTTTTTTTTCAAAATGTAGCTGTTTGAAAAAAAAAGAAGAAAAATATCGCTGCCATATTTGTTTGGTACAGCGTCTAATCCTGATAAAGCTATAATGAGAATTCTCTGCAAAGCTTAAGTCCGAATTGAAATCTTGTGTATTGGAAATGTCGGTTTGATATTAAAAAAGCGTTCAAAGGTTGTGACTTTAGTTAACTTCTGTTCGATGGAATGAGCTTATTATGTGGAGAAATATTTTGGTCGTCCTAGTCTCTCTAAGATGTCTTCTAATCTCGTGAGGCGAAATTTGTCGTTTATGATTTTTAGTTTTATTTTATGCGTTAGTTCGGCGTTGATGTTTAGGTGTTGTTTCCCGATTTCTTTATCTAGGGTATTTAGTATTTTGATGTGTTTTTGTCCGTTTTTTAATTTTACCGAATAAGCCTCTTTTCCCCGAATAATATCCCTTTTTCTATTTCTTTGTTTAGTATTAAAGTATCATTGTCTATTCTGATATGTATGGGTACCATAATTTCGCGTCTTGCAGGGAGAATTGTGATGCTGTTGCTAACTACGTGATCGTATATGGGGAGGTGAATTTGTTCATCATGCGTATTAGTTTCATAATTCATATTATAAGCATATTTGTGTAAGAAGCCCCTTCCGATAATTCCATCAGATCTTATTGTGTGCTTTCGATTCCCAAATTTATATTTTAATTAATTCTTCCCAAAGTGTTTATATATTCTTTGGATAGTCCTATTAGATTGATACTATAACGAGTTTTCTTGGGCAGGGTATAGTTCAGTCACTCCAAGGTTCGTTGCAAGAAAATTTAGAATAAAAATAATCCGGACCTTCGGGGGGAATGGTGTAGAAATTCCTTAATTTATTATTTCCTTTTTATTGGAGAGAAGTGCAGCGATGTGTAGAAGCTAGCTATGGCAAGGAAAGGAACCAGCGAGGTGACCCAACTTTGTGGCGCTATTACCGTTTTGCTTAGAACCTTCTCTTCCTTTTCGTTTCGCTTTTAATATCGCGGGACGCTAAAAGAAAAGAACCGGATACGTTGCCAGTGTCATAGCTGCCGCCGGTTTGTCTCCGTTTCGCTACTCGTCGGTTAATACAAAGACAAAATGTTCCTCCGTTCTTCGGGGATGACGACTAACAACTAGCCAATACATCCCCTATCCGTAATGTCAGTTGCCCTGCAACGTCCTTCAGGGATGACGACTAACAACTAGCCAGTACATCCCCTCTCCGTAGAGTCATCTGTCCTAAAAGTCCTTCAGGGATGACGACTAACAACTAGCCAGTACATCCCCTATCCGTAAAGTCAAAAAAAAGAATAAATTTGCCACATTGTCCGTACCCACTTACCTTCAGACAGCTATGACACCGAAATGAAAGAATCTGTGCGATGTGCAGCCCTTTTATAGCTAAAGTCTCGCACGCTTGTCCTATTGCCAACATGTTCTATGTGTTTACTTATGCCTTGAGGTACTATGCTTATGTGTATGCTGGCTGCAGTCGCAACCTTAGTTACGACTTGCATGATCCTGCTTATACCTACTTAATCCCAACTTACGTCTAGCTTATTACTATGTTTGTTCTAATGTCTACTCAACAGGCACCCAGGTACCATATCGCGTGATTCAACCACCGTGTGTGTTCCTATGGGTTTATTAACATAGGCATATTCGATATCTGTTTATAATTTTTCTCTTTACAATACATTTGGTACTGGAGTGGGTTTTCCTGTTTTTATTACCCCAGACAGTCGCTCACGGATTGATCGGACTGACGGGTTGCTCGCTGTGGCTAACTGTCTTAGGCGGACGGACTTGCTTCCTTACAATACACTCTGTCTTGTGAGTAGTACTCCAATAAGTGTTCTTTGCAGAGGCTGATATCTTCTCTTGTGTCTAGTAGAAATGATGTTATGTTGTAGTTCCTGTTATTGTTATTGTTGTTATTGCTATTGCTATAATAATTTCTGTTATTCTTTTTATTATTGTAATGCTGGTTTCTATTATTTTGGTTATTGTAAGAATTTTTGTTGTTGTTGTTGGTATAGTTGGGGCGATTAATTTATTATTTTTGTGGGCATTTATTTTCATTCTGTTAAGGTTTGGCTGGAGCCTATTTTCGTGTTCTAGCGCATTATTAACTGCTTCTGAGAAAGTTCTCGGCTATGCCGCAAACAGGGTGTATTTGATGTAATCGTCAAGTCAATTGTTAACAACGGTTAGCGTCAGTATCATTGATGTTTGTGATAACATTTTTTGTTAAGGAACGGCATTAGAGCCTAGGTCTTTTATTTATAGATTATTAACTTCAGCAATAATATTTCATATTTTATCTTTGTATATTTAAGGAGGCTTTAACATTTTAACTAAGTCTATGAGTTGTGGTTTTGCTGCTGTAGCTAAGGCATTGTGAATTATTTCTGATACTTTTAAAAAGTGTTAAGTTCTTTCTGTGTGTGGGAAGTGGTATAATTTTAGAAGCTATTTTCAGGTTGGATTTTTATTTTGTATGTTTCTATTTTATCTGCTATTTTCGGATGTTTCTATTCTAATAATCCTTTGGCCTCGTTGTGTCTCTGTTTAAATGCTTGTATTTTGCTAGGAAGTTCTTGACTGTCTGTTATTTTCGTTTCTTTCTTTATCACATTAATTTTCCTCCAGTGTAGATTTTTTATTTTAGTTTTTTAATTTAGTTATTGGTCTATTTATAAAAAAATTTATTTCATCTATTGCTTCTATCTAGAAGGATTCATTTGTAAAAAAAAATGTTTAATTAATTTTATATTTTAGTGTTATTTACGTTACTTTGTTTTTTGATTACATATGTTTTTAGATAGATACCTATATTATGTATGTATGTATGTATATATATATTTTTAGATATTGGTATATGTAGTTTCTTTTGTGTCCATTTCTATATAATACTTGGCCGAAGTCTTTCAGGCGATTGGTTGCTGGACCTGGTATCTTAGGAAGTTCAGTCTTCTCCTGTTTCTTATACGTTTTCCTACTACATACTTTTTGTTTAGAATTATGTTGCTTCCGCTTCCTCTTCTCTAAGCGTTTTTTGTATTCTTCGGCTTTGATTTTCTTTGGGCCCTCTTTTTCCATATTTATTTTCCTACCCTGCACGGCTGTTTCCGCCAAGACTTAAACTCCTTCTATCGCCAAAATTGATTCGGGTCGTTATTTAATGAAAAGGATTAATATTTTTGACTTCATTTCATATACACCAAAACGAACTCGGCTTGAAATGTTCAAAATTAATTCTAACCTTATTGATAAAATATGCGCTTATATCCTAATTTCCTACAACTAAAATTATGGAGCCAAACGAGATTTGATGAACAGATTAGCTATGGACCATGTTTCGATTTTTGCAGTGTACCTTCGGTAGAGTAAAAAGTTCCGAGTTGAACGTTTAGTTTGATAAAAACAAAAGAAAATTTTAATTTTCATAACTCAAATTCCACTAAGTTATTTTTTGAAACTTTATTGTCGAACAGCATTCCACGTCAATCGTATAATCTTGCAATTCGCTTTCTAAACTGCACTCCATAATTCTAAAGCCATACAAAGGAATTTGATAGTCCCTAATTTCATACATCACTCAACAAGCGTTACGTCTAACATTTCGTCTGTTTATAATTTTTTTATTTAAACGTGCTTACAATGCAACATAGTTTTCACTTTATCTGTTTTGCGGATTGTAAAATAAGAACGCCGTAATCGTAGCAATCGACTTTTGTCGCTGTCCGCTCAGCTGATTGCCGATTTGACTATGGATCGCAATGATGATTCTATGCATTGTTCCATATTGTATAAAAAAATTCTTTTTATTTCGACTAAATGTTTACTGTTTTTAGTTAAAGGTGAGCAGTCGTGGTGCCCACTTCGAACAGACCTTTCTTA